ACTAAAGATCATGAATAGGAAAATTTGTAGTGATGTAAACTGACAATCAAATAGCCATAGGAATAGGGTAAATTTGGTCTTTATTTCCGGAAGTACTAATGTAATACATAATGGAACGAGACTTGTCGACACTGTGACGTTAAACACACCCTGATATAAGTCGCCGTCTTATTAGGTGTACACAAACACGAGATCACGTCATAAGGTTGATGTCGTAAATGTCGACGTCCTGTTTCGTTTTTTTGGTGTGACACACATGAGGGTCGACTAACTAAGTGGCGTAGATTGTTCGTTACACGTGTGGTGGCGGATATAATACTCACACATCTACGAATGACTCTTGTAAATTATTTATACCGAAACATAATGCTTTATATTTACACATGTATAAGGATAAAGGATTTACATGTAAAAGGTCGGGTTTCAGATAGTATTGTAACGATTTTCCTTTATCAGAGAGTTGTTTTCAGTAAGACGAAACAGAACAATTCTGGTCATTTGTCGTCCAGTAAATTTCGTTTACCTGTGAAGGTCAACAAAATATCAGAACGACTAATTCAGAATCCGGAAACTTGGTTCTTTTAAGTGGCGTCCCGTTGGTGAACATTTACTTAATGGGCGAGTGTCGGGGAGCATATAGACCCTTCAGAACCGACCGACAATTAATCGGCACAATCGTACGCGCCAAAGGTAACAAAACTCTGTAACCATTTCACCACGGTAAGGGTCCATCATATAAGTGTAGATGTGATTGAATTTTTGGACTGTAAAAACAAAAAGATCGTTACGTGGAAGAGTTTATTCAACAGTCTCTTTCATCAATAGACACCTCCTCCCCTCGTAGAACGACGGAAAATAGAAATCGATTAGTCGTGCAAATGACATCCAATCGGTACGATTGTTATCCTGACTTTCCCAGTATGTGTAAAATTTTCTACCGTGGTACGGAAGACATTTATATATCTATTTTATAATTAGCACCAGACTCATAGGTCTCGACGACGAACTTCAAAAACTATTTCTTCTGTTTATACTATAATCGTCTTTTTACGGTGCGTCTCAACTTTCGTTCGACATTTGTCACATTAATACGGATATAAAAATACAATAAATAATCAAAAGAATTTATCAACACATAAGTCACAAAATAAACTTTAACATACATGCAATACATACGAGGGTTTTGTGGTTGTGTTTAAGGAACATACAAAAGTGGATGAACCATTCTTTGGGCAAAGACTAAGATTTTTGCATATTTATTAAGTCGTTTTCGTTGGAAGACACGCGACAAGACACCGTCTAAAATTCGACCTGTACCATTCTCAAATTGTCTTACATTGGGGGGGGGTTCTCTAGATGGGCATAGCACAGGGTTCTTCGTCTACAGCCTCGCGGTCCTCTCGCTGTACAGGGGGGTCGTTGTTGCACCAGTTGTAGGTCCACGTCGGGTGACTCTTGTTTGGTTTCTACGTCACGACAGTCTTGTAGATCGGGCGAGGCCTAGACGGACGATGTGGGGGGGGGTGGGAAGAGAGAGGTGCCAGAGCGGAGCGGAGGAGGGAAGGGACAGAGAGTGGAGGACTTCGGGGAGGGAGTCTTTTATTAACTGACGAGTCACATGACACCACGCCCTCCTGGGGGGGAGACGTGGAGTGGTCGCATGGAGGGGGACTGGGTGGGGCAGGGTTCATTTATATAGGGCCATATTCTTCAGTGGCGCACCCCCTCTGGGGGGGGGGTTCGTTTCGTGGGGGACAGCAATCCCNAGTTATTGCTCACTCTTCTGTGTATTCATTCAGTCCGCGCACACACCTCTACACACACAAACAAACAGATCATTTATAAAGAGCAGCATACTAATCAGAGAGAGGTGTGTGCGCGGACTGAATGAATACACAGAAGAGTGAGCAATAACTGTGTGCGTGTGTGCGCGTGTGTGCGCGCGTGTGTGCGCGCGTGTGTGTGTGTGTTTTGCAATGTCATTAGCAGCTGTTATCTGACTGTGCAGAACAATCATACATTCAGAGGGCAGGATACTAACACACACACACACACACACACACACACACACACACACACACACACACACACACACACACACACACACACACACACACACACACACACACACACACACACAGACAAACAAACAAACAGACTTTTCCTTTTTTTTTTTACGTATTATGTCAGAGGAAAAAAAAGGTAAAGAAATGAATGAACATAATTGTATCAGATACAGAACAGTTCATCATTAATTGTCATATCTAACTGGATCATCATTAGTAAAGGTGTGGGAAAAAATACAAAATATCCTGCAGTCTAATTCTGCATAATACATATATATATATAAATATATAACATATATATCATTGTTTTTCTGGGTCTCCAGGTGAAGTACAGGCAGAGTGCAGTGAAGGCCTGCAGCGTCGGAGTGACTCCTGAACTGGAGAGAGTCAAACAGAACCAGGAGAACATCAGCTCGGCAAGACACACACGCACACACACGCACACACACACACACACACACACACACACACACACACACACACACCACAACAACAGAATTCTCGCGCATCATGTCCTCGTCTGAACATGGAAACTCACAGGGGGTTCACTTTGTTAGTGGGAAGCGCTGCCCAACGCTTCATTAGTATCTGTCAAGTCTAAAACAGAACAAATCAGCTGAAGCAGAGACTGAATTGCTTATTCAGTGTTTTGAGAAGAAAGTATATTATGCTGAGATAAACCATCTGATACACTTTCTTGACTCTCGTGGTGACTGCAACCGAGCTGTTATAATCATAAAGTTTGTGTTTGCAAAAGATGAAGAGAGCCTCACTTGAATTTTTCCCAGTGATGTTTTTATATACAGTCTATGGGGTTTTCTCCCCTAGCAGATTTGAGTGTCAAATTCCAGTGGGCATATAAAAACCACTGTCCTGAAACGGACATACAGTAGTTTTGCTGGCACAATTATTCAAATGTTTTGGGAAGGATTTAATAGTTGAGCCACTCCCTAAGGAATCGTTGATGTCTACAGTAAATAAAAAATAATCAGGTTAAGGCATCAACACAGAAGCTGTAGTACAGAAACGTCCCAATCAGGTTAGCAAAGCACCCAAAAAAAGGAGGAAAGCCCCTTAATGCCAAAAACATTTTAATACGCGCAATTTGTCCCCAAAAGCAACAACTTAGCTTCAGGCAGTGTCTAGGCTTATGCTTACGATGTGTGTTTAAAATTAATAAGAAAAAGGAGGATATGACATTACAGTCACTTCATCAATAATGGCGCCTTCATTTGTTTAACACAACATCAGGCCATGGGACAACATTTAATTTATTGATGTCGATCAAAGATGATGAATGATTCTCCACTGAATATACAGTTTATATATAAATATACCAGGTACAACCAGGTGAAAACATGTAATACATAGACCTTTATGCAGAACTATATAAATGTACATATATATTTTGTCGCTGGTGTTCCTTTTCGGACCGGCATTTGAGCATAAATTGAGCAAAATAAAACATAACCTTTTCGACCATGAAAAGCTTCTCTTTCATAGTTCTTTTCATCATACTGTATTGTGTTTAATTTACCCAGAGCCTGTTATCAGCCTTAAAGCTCAAACCAATGTTACTCACAACAAGGCACTTCAAAGAACAACAAGGGCAAAAAGCAGGAAGGAAGGTTTGTCCAATGATGCTATATGAGAAACAGCCACCAGAGGAGGCAGGAGACAAGCAAAAGACTTGAAGAGCTCAGTCACATGTTGTGTTTAAGTAACATACAAAACCACAAACATGCTGTCAGACGACCAGCAACCGACAATGACAAAAACAGATCCTCGCAGCGCCAGCTTCAACAGACAGACAGTTTACTGAATTCTCCAGTGATGAAATACAACACCCCTTCAATAAGTAGCACAAACTTGATGTTTCACAAGAGACTCGGAGCCACTCCTGCCAATCTGCACTTCATTAGGCTGATTGCTTGTCTGTGTAAGCTACTCTCTTCGCCTGCCAGTTCCCTCTGCCTTGTTCTGATTAAAGGGGAACCTCATAAATACGCTGCTGCCTATAAACGATTTCCTCGTTACATCAAAGTCACACGGAAGTTGTAAGCTGCTCATATAATTTCAACAAAGTGCAGGCATCTTTTAGCAGCCTCACACGCCACCAAAGTCACCCTACGGTTCCTCTCTGGTAGAATATGGCTAATTCAAACCTTAGTCCACAGTGGTCAATAATATAAATGTAATGAGGCAGGAAGAACACAATGCTGATGAGGATTAGGGCAGTAATAAAAGAGGGAACTTCTAATAAGCTGAGTTTTTAGTTTGTAAGTAACCTGATATTATATAATAGTTTTGTAAATCAACACTTCGGACACAGGCAAACTTAGTCTTATGGATTTTTTTCCAGTTAAACGAACAGTAATTGTTGCTGCTAATTACTGGTGAGGTTGAGAAATATAATTTGACAAAAGGTACAATTACAGACAATAGTTTTGGGTTGTTAATCCCTAATTGCCAACACATTCACCTATTATAGAGATAAATGCTGTTGTGTGTTCTCACGCTCCTGTTGTGAAACTTGAATAACTCCATAATGGTCATAAATACAGAGTAAATGATTGTCAGAGAGATGACACATGGTATTTCTGTACAAACAAAACATCATTATAAAAGTATCTACACCAAAGAAAAAGCTTGACTGGTGTGGTAAATGAACGCTCAGTAGTTACGGAAACTATCTGTGAAATGTGCGTAGATAACGGCTATGCGTTTATGATTTGTCAAACATTGCGTTGAACTGACCACTGTTATAAAGGATGGTTGAGCACAGGATTAAACCACACAAAGAGAACAACTCTAGTTAAGTTCCCTGGTAAACTACTGAAAATGACCATTTTTGAAAGATCCTAAGCGACCGTAGCTGCACATGTCTACATTTTGCTGCAATACATACATTAAATGTCATTCATTTAAAGGAAACAGTCTTAAAAGCTTTAATTGTTTTGTTCATGTGAATAATAAACATTGGGGGGGGAAATATAAATTGCATAGCACAATATATGCCCTTTCAAAGGGAAGAACAATATAAATACATTTTTGGTTAGAACCTTTACCATATTCTCACATATATACACAACATGAGACATTCATACATTCCAGCATAATTATAGAAAGAGAATATGTCCACGCTCTCTAAAAGGAAATTATGGAGTTTAGGATTGTTTTTTTATTGCTACAAGAGATGAGAAAAGTTAGTGTAAAGTTTTTATTTTGATCGATAATTTGAGGTTTAAACCTTCCTGTCTTAGAAAGCTACCTGAATTAGTACGCTTTCCCTGGAGCAGTTTTTCAAGGCAGACACTTTTGTAGAATTGAAAGAGTGCTTCAGAGATATATGTTTTATTTGGCCTGAGTTGCTGAAACACTCATCATTCACACAAGTGCGCAAATTATTTTGATATTAAGGCTCTTTTCATCACAAGGCACTGTATCGAATGAAGAGAAGAAAGGCTTGAGTAAAAAGTTGTACTTTGTATTTTTGTGTGCAAGTCCTCGCCCAGCTCAATTACTGCAGAAGTAAACAAGTGAAGAGTACAAACAGCCGGACAGCAACGCCCCTCTTCTTAAAGACAAGTCATGTAAACAGGCAGTCCAAAGGGGCCAGAGGACATCTAAGTCTGCTTTTATCCTTGATGTAGGAAAAAATAGATTTCTTATTAGACTTGAAGTGCTCAGAAAGTGCATTCAAACACTCCTTATGCAGTAGATATATTATAAACATTGATTTTTAAAATGTCAGACGTCCTCTGTGTCCATTTTTGGGAATCCACTGAAACACATTTCACCATAGTCAGTTATATTTCCATTTTTATGATAAGTGGTACATGCTGTAGCCCAGAGGAGAGGCGTACAGTCCTAAAGGTGAGATGGGCAGTAGGGGTCTGTGGTGATGGTGGTAGGCAGAGTACGACTGTCCATACAGTGACATGCCCAGCGATAGTGGTAACGTAAAGCCAGGGTGTAAACCTCCAGCAGCAGCGGCCGCCACTGCCACCGTTTTAGCGTCTGCAGCCATCTTGTATTTCTCCAGCTCGGCCTCCTGGAGCCTCTTGGCTTTTGCCCTGCGATTCTGAAACCAGATCTTCACCTGGGTCTCTGTCAGGGTCAAGGAGGACGAGAACTCGGCCCGCTCTGCAATGGAAAGGTACTGCTTCTGCCTGAACTTCCTCTCCAGGGCCAGGAGCTGAGATGTGGTGAAGGGAGTGCGAGGCTTTCGGTTGGTCTTGTGTTTCCTCAACGGGCAGCCAGGGCCGCCAGGGCCTGCGAAAAAAAACAATAACGATTTTAGAATAAGGATTAGATTAAATAATTCAATTGACTTTCATAGAATGATATACTGATCTGTTGGCTATACTTGAACACAAATGGCTAATTAAAACTTCAGGTTGAAAGTTGGAGTTAGGGTTAGGACCTTTGTTGCATTTAGAAACTCTCTCTCTTTTTCCAGTTCGCCAGTCATTGGAAAATGCCAAACAAAATCATCATGACAAAAACTCATGGAAAATCTTATCCCTTCTCAAAGGCTACTTTTTTGTAATATGCCACATATTATATGTTGCTATGAAAAGGCCCACTCCTATACACATTAATAGCACTTAAAATATGAATGATATAGAGCAACTTTTTTGTTTTCTTTAGGCCTTTATTTAAAAGAAAATGGTCTAACGAGAGATCTATTTACAGCACATGTTGAGAATTAGAGAGCCTATCAGTGAACTGTACACAATGCTGAGACATAATGAACTGTATCCTCTTCACCCAATCTGCCGAATATGGGCAGATTGGGTGAAGATTTGCTTCAAGCTCTGATTTAGCAAGCTGTATGTTGGCTTTTTGTTCAACACATTAAAATCCTCCAAGTTTCATAGAGCAAGTAAAAACTCACGAGGCTGTGTCGAAAACGCGCCGTTAGTGACCCAGGGCGTGCAGTCCTCTGACTCGGATGCCTCGGACTTAACCGGCGACGAAGCTGTTAAGCTTTTTCGGATTCCTCCGGGAGAACCACACGTCTCTCGACACAGAAACAGGGAATTTAGACCTGTAGGAGACACCGCCACCGAGCCTCCCTCCGGTTTACAGCGGATTGACTCCCCGCTGCGAGTGTTCGTCTTCATGCCGGACATCAGCGCCTCCACACTGAACGGATGGTGCCGGCGCACCACCGGAGAGGTCTTCTCCTCCTTCCCCTCCGCACGGTTACTTTCCTCCTCGGACGAGCTGCACCCCAATTCGTTAAAGGTATCCTGAGAAGCCATCTCTCCTCCAGTGTTCATCCGAAAAACAGGTGGCGAAACAGTCGAAGTGCGGCCAGGTGAGAGCCGCTCCGGAGCGTGCTATGTTGTGGAGCTGTCAAGTACTTTGTGGGAGTAAGTAGACGCATCACGTTGACACGGATCAACTTTGACCAATCAGTGCAGCCCGAAATGTTTATGAGTGAGCAGATGCTGCCTTCGTGGACTGTGGGAAATTGAAATCTCTTGGTTTGTTTTGAGAATTGGACACCCTTTTATACTAAAGGATGCCTTATTTTTAAAATATGCCACATATTTTGTGGTTGAAGTTGAACCCCACATTAACTACAAATTCTGACTCATTTAGGATAACTGGTTCATTTGAATTTATATATTAATTACTGAATCAATGATTTATTAATAGACGTACTGTAGCCTATTGTTATTCTAGCTAGGCTACATTAGCTATATTCAGTGAGCTGTACCAACTACAAGATTAAAATAATATTTACAAAATACAAAAACCTACATTTCTGAAGGTTTAGAGGAGTGGTTGACTTTAAAGCAGCTGCTAAAGCACCATGAAAGAAAAATATTTAATTCCATCTTTGTTTAATATATTTTAAAACCAAATTCAACTTTGAAAATTATATTACAATGACTTTTGTCCTCCTATCAGATGATCAGTATAATTAAGTAAACATGTCCAGATGGGTGTCTTGAATACAGCTTGAGAGGTCTGCAGCTTCATTTTGTTTGTTTAAAATCAAGATTGCTTTGAAAACTTGATGAGAACGTTCACCCTCTTTGGTTTAAAAAGTGAATAAAGGTAGTAGCTGCAAGAAAACAATAGATGTGCCACAGTATTATCACAAGTTAATCCTCTGTAATGGATTAGCTTTAACTGTAACCTCATGAGACTGCATGTGTATCGACACAGTCCCCATGTGCTTAATTATAGACAATTAAACCCGGGATGAAAAATTGATCTGTTTTTCTTCTGTATCTGTCAGTGTGATTTTTTTACTGTTCCCTTTATTGGGACTCCCAATATTGCTGTGTCATGTTGTATAAATAAGTCACACTCAAGTAACAGTGTTAATAAGATCACTTAATTACAGATTTGTTTTTTTAAAGTCCAGCTGGTCTCTGAGGTGTGACTAGACGAGACATCCCCATGTTGCTGATACATTCGTGTTTTTGTCCTATGATTCAGTCCCACCCTCTACTCACATTAGACATGAAGTTGCTCATTTTGATCCTCATGAAGAAGCTCATTGTGATATTTTCATGAGCAATTTCACGTTATGTCAGATGAAAGTGCCCTGACTCCTGATTGAGACTGCTACACTTGTTCCAGCAGATTATCTGAATAAACGGTCCTTTCATGACGGTTGAAATATTTGTAGCTGAAAGGATGTTTCTCTTATCCTAAGATTTTTCCCATGGTCATGCCTGTGTTAGTACTTACACTGTATCTGTCGCCTAATTGCTCATATTTAACACCCGTGCTATTTTTTACATCACAAGGCGTGATCCCTTCTTATATTCCTCAAATATCTCATTGGTGAGAAAGGAGAATATATGTTTTTGTGTGTCCTTCTCGCAAAGCCTTAAGAGCAGAACTATTTCAGCCTCCCACAAGTTGATTTCCAGATAGTTTTCCTTAAAACTCACTGTTTTCAATGCACCCATTCTTTAAAGGACACCCTGCAAAAAAAATTCGACATTCCCTAGGTTTATACACACAGTGAACACTTCTACTTTTTTCCCAGCATATTTTACATGTAGCCAGCAGGCGTTAGCAGCTTGTGTGTGGAGCAGAGCTCAGTTCCCAGGAGGGAACCTTAATAAAGTGGGGTTATTTCACAGACAATCAGAGGTTTGTGAAGGCGCCAGTGAGCGGCCAGATGAAAGGACTGACTCCTCAGGGGAGAAACTGTTGCCTTTTTTTCAGCTCTGTTCAGGATCCCCACCTCCATCCTCCTCCTCCCCCCCTCCACCCCTCTCTCTCTTTCTCTCTGGCTGTGCCCGCACGCCCTGCAGGCACCTTGTCAGTCATTATCCACAAAACTTGTTTGTTGCCGACTGTCATTGCCGTGTTTCCTCCTTTCCACCCTTATCCTTTTTGCACTGTTTTTACGTTTCCTTAGGTAACCATTTATTTCTATCTATTTCATCTAACTCTTTCTTTCTTTCTTACTTTCTTTTCTTTCTTTCTTTCTCTCTGAATGTCTTTTTTCTTTCTTTCTTTCGTACATGCTTTCTTTCTGTGTTGGTACCAAGAGTCAATAGAAACATATCTTCTAATATCTAAGATATTATTTTAAAGGTTAGCAAAGGATACACAGCACATGAAAGTAAGTTCTACTAAGAGATAAGATACAATATTCTTGGCATGTGTGCTAATTTATCTTTCAAACCTGTTTCAAGAGGTATCAATCAAAGCAGAAACTGCTTTCGCACATTTAATTATCTTATTTGTCTAACCCATCTGGCACCAACACACGCTGCAGCCTGTACTGACAAAACATCAATGTCATGGCCAGCTTATTTCATATTCAATCTGAGGTGATGTTGTCTGATGTGCACTTTGAACGTGGGAATGTGTGAGTCCTGACATAAATAAACCGCAGATCTAAGACAAAAAAGGATTTAGTGAAATGAAGAAAAGGAGGAAGGAAGGAAGGAGGAGGAGGAGAAATGAGAGGGGTGCTCTCCTGGGTGTAGCAAAATTACCCACACATCCCACTTCCTTTTTTCCATGATATCATTTAAGCCTGATAATAGCTAAAGCAATTTGTCTGAGCATGTTTGTGTGTGTGTACAGTGTGGATGTCCGTACAGTACAGTATGTGCATTTGTATGTGTGTGTGTGACGGAGCAGCCTGTGAAGCCTCTGGTTGTGTGCGTCGGGCACACCTCAGAGCATTGTAATTACAGCAGCCGCTTTGAAGTGGTGGAATGTTTGGTTTGGATAATCAGCAGTCTGTGCCGCACTCACACACTATTTACATTCCCATTAAAACACTCATTCATGCCATCATAACAGCAAATGTTACCATCAAACTCATACCTACTGGGTACAACTTTGGGGAAGTACCATGATAGCATATAAAGAGTAGAGTACCTTTTAGAGCATGTAAATATGTGTCATCCTGCCAATATTAGTTGTAAGTTCCTCTTGAAGTTTTTCTGCTTTTATTTCCTTCTTCTAATTCTCTTCCTAAGTTTAGAACCTCACTTTCACTGTATAATGATGTTAACAAGAATATATTTCCAATATCATTATAAAGTATATCTGTATATCGTTTCTTTATTGCATAATCTAATATTAAACAATACAAATGTGGCTGAATGTGCTGCACTCTTTCACTGTTATACTATAAGTTGTATAACATTTTTCACAAATGTAAAATCAACTTATTTCCCTTTTAAAAAATATGAGCTTGGACTATACCATTTGTTACGAATCATGACATTACCGACATTACACACATATAAACCATTATATTAAACTTGCGTACACACCCATGCTACTATTCACAGAGTGCAGTTACATTCTTCTCAGCGAGACTTGTCAAACTATGTGAGACATGTTGTAAATAAGTAAGTGACACATTCACACAAGAAGACTCAATGTTATCAAATAGTTTTTACTCACATAAAAAATCAGCTAAGTGCTGTCACAAAATCCAACCCTCTCTCTCTCACTCTCTGAGCTTCCCAAGCTCTCCGCCTGTAATGCACCTAAATGACTACCTTGAATGCTACAATGGCGCCAGGGCCAATTAGCTCTTAACACTGGAGACAGATCTATTCAGGAGCCAGAGAATGAGGCCTCCTGTAACGTGAAAGATTGATGCCCACTTTGCTAATGACAAGAGAAGCAGGCAATCTCTTGCTCGACTTGCCCTGGGCCGTGTTACAGGAGAGTCAGCTGATGACTGTAAGCCTGCAGGGGGTCGGGTTTGAATGTTGGGATTTCGAGACATATACAGATGCACATTCCTATAAAAATGTTTGTTAACATATAGCATTGACTGATGATGATATATGACAGAAGTCTGCCAGACAGATATTTTGTACTATAAGTCATCCCTTGTAATATATTTATCCTAAGCGACTTTCCTACACTTTCGATACCGTAGAGATGCCTTCGAGAGCAATTTGCGGTTAGGTGTCTTGCCCAGAGACACGTTGACATGCAGGAGCTAGGCATCAAACCCCTGACCCAAGTTGAAGCTTACTGTACTTACACCCCTGACCCAGATCCTCCCGGTTGCAATTCAGTTAGAAAAGGAGCTTTATGCTTGAGTAACAAGATTTTGAAACAATATCAGGATTTGTTAAAACCACTGTCAAAATTACTGTGTCACCAGATTCAATTTGAATTCAATTCATGGGGTCACAATTTTGATTCAAAACTGATTCTCATTTCAAAACAATTAATGGCATGTTCTCGAAGAATCTGAGACGATAAGAATCTTGAGAAATTAGCTTTGTGCCCAAAGGAGTGTATCGGCTTGTGTCTCTTCACCACAGTGTTATAGTGTTCCTTTTTAAGGTGATAATTGCTTGGGTAAACGCCAACTGCAATTATACTTTTGGAACTGTTCTTTGATGGAGTTTTTTACTTGTATGTACTTACCCACTAATGTCGGTTCATAGCTTCACCTCGCCATAACCCATAATTATGAAGCCTTCCTTTCAATTCATGACTGAAGTATTATACCTCGGAGGGGTTTGGAAAGTTGGGCGCATCTTTGTGACCTCTTAACCTTCCTTGTACCCAATAAAATTGTGCATTCTTTAAGTATGCAGGTAGGCTCTTAAATCATGTGCCTATTGAAAATATGACAACTATCAGTAAATAAAAGGGTTATTCCAGCGTTATTTAAATATAACACTTGATGTGGAAAATAAGTACGATATACATTACAACGTTTTCTCTAAGGACTGGCGATCACAGCAACCTATCCTGATTTTTAAAAGTCTTCTATACCACGCAAGTATTTTTGCAGGCTACTTTGCATTCAGGCTTTGAAAATTAACCATGGACCGCGATCCTGGTGAGAGAAAAGGAGCATCAACAGACTTCTATGACTCATTGTGCATCACAGGCCTCATGACTTCAGTTTCCGTGTCAGACTCTCAGC